TAGAGTCAGAGGGAAACTCAAGATTTTCTCTTCTACATGTTTTGTTGAGCGAAAAACGACGACCGATATGTCAAAAGCCAACTGACTTAGAAAAGGGTTTTAGTTATCAGAAAAAGAAACTTGAGTTATTACCTTTTCTCAAGAGTCAGACAAATAAGCACTGAGAACGCAATCAGCGAACAAAATAATGGATTTCAGGAACTATTTGACGAAGACAGCCACCTTTACAGGATCATCGAGTGAAACATGCAATGCTAAAAGCAAATTGTAAGATCCCTAACAGTATCAATGATTTTGTTTGCGAATGTTTTATCTTAAAGAAACCCGTTTATTCTGTTGAGCCTAGGATCTTCCTCCTTAGTGGTAGTCTAACTAGTGAATATGTCACGAATAAACTGCTACTTGAAGCCATTTATCAATCCACTTGAAGTTATGAAGCGAGGAACTAAACAAACAATACCCTTTCTGAGCACATCTACATACATGGTTAACAAAAAAAGAACAGAGATAAACCAACAGATGAAGCTTTGGACAGTTCATCAATTCTGATTACCTGCGAAGTTAAACTAAACTGCAGGACAGAACTATTTATCTGAAGTTTTTGTAAAGCTAATGCTTCAATAATAGTCAGACTTATGCAGAAACTGTGTCCAGTCGCTCATTTAACAATACGGCTAGTGTAATAAGGGTTACGGGAGGAAAATAATTATAGTTATGCAGTAAAATTAACCAGTTGACGTTTAAAAGTGGGCTATTAAGTGTTGACGCAATGGTCCAAAGATTATATTCTTCCTGAACTACCCAAATTTTGTAGATTTGGTCCTTTAATGGGTTGTGGGTATGCACTTTTGAGGAGTTAGTAACTACAATAAAATGTCCCTACAGTATTCCGTAGTCTTCAGCCGATGGTTTACTGCAGTCAATTCATTTTTTGAATAGTCCTAATAATTCATTTTTGTATTGACGTTAAGGACTGTAATTGATTAATCTCTTACTGGCATATGTGCATCCTGTGCGGACCGCTTCAATATAGCCTGAAGTCATGAGCATTATAAACAGAAATCGATGGTTGTTAGCATTGGCTACCCAGTAGGTAAGTGGATAACGCGATGACGTTTGAAGTAACTGCTATTTGGTTCGAGTTGCGGAGTGAACATCAACTACTCGGGATTTAGGTATATCCAGCTAACGAGGCCCATACAGAACGAAAAGCACGTCCTGGATCCCGCTATACATCTCTGCTTACAGTCCTAACAATTGTCTGAATAAAAACAGAAATGTGATGAATAATTTAAAGTAGGCAGTCAGTTGAAAATCGTTACATTTAGCCATAATGTCGTCCATATATTTGATTCTTATTATGAAGTTTTCTAATTCCATTAAATGTAGACCATAAATTTCGACAATAAATGTTGTATTATACCGATTATTAACTAATTCATAACCATGTTGAATGCGAATCATAATGAATCAGGAATGAACGGTAGGGTAGATTTTCATCTGTCATTACAATAAATGACGAGATTGAAATGACCCAAACATCTAGTTTGGTTTATTGTGTCATGTTGATACTAATCTTGTGTATATTCACAGCTATTTTTATTGCGTACTGTTTGATTTTTTTGAATCCCTTATATTAAAAATTATTTTAAATTAAAACATGTTGTAGCGTACATTTCGATGAATTCAAATTAGGATATTATTCAAAACACCAAATGAAAGCTTTCTAAGCTGAACAGGAAATTCATAAATATAATTATTTTATTTTTCTAACAAGTACCTAGGAAAATATAATACTAGTCTAATGGGAAGTTGGATTCCAATAATCTAATACATCACTTTGTATTTTGTTTGCTTGTCAGTAATTGTATATTCCCAGGATAGTCTTATTGATTATCGAAATTTTCCATAACAAAACAACAACTTCCTACGCTGCATGCTTATGTATTATAGACAAATAACTAACGACTACTTTTCACATTTATCATACAGTTTTATAAAAATATGTGACAAAAAGTATCATGGAATGCGATTTTTACTATTTATTCAAATGTACCTTTTTATAAAACAATAAAGTAGCTGGAGTTGATATTTATCACAAAAAAAAGAGAAAACTATTCCAGCTTTTAAGAAAAAAAATTGACATTTTCAGCTGTTTAGAACGATAATAATTTACATTAAGAAACCAGCTAGTTGTGGTAGGATAGACTTAAAACTAGATTGAAATGAATACAAAGATATCAACAAAATTTTTCTAAATCAGTATCATGATCACACAGGTTGTAGGTAAGAAATATGGAATGCTGTTAGTTCTTTGTGGATTTAGGATGTTCTGCTGATTGTAAATCAAGCTTACATCATATACATTAAACTAATTCACTCTGCTATCTAAGGATAACATTGAGGAATAGTACAAAAATCAGTTCTGTTTACTTTTTATTTCAGAAATGCTCGATTTGAAATAGTTAAATGCGGAGTAGTGTTAATCTCTATATCAATGTATTCAATTAATCATCACAAATTGTCTTAAATGATGTTCAATTCAAAAACAGTCAATTTCAGCATATCTGACAAACTGTATTCAAGATGAAGTAGTAGTAGTAGTAGCAGTATTGATGTCATTAGAATAGTTCGTAAATTCTGTACTCCAACCGTGAATAGAAACAGCTGCATAAAATAATTCAGTGTATATAAAGCAATCGACTTAATATTGAAATTGTCCACTTCACATGATGCATACAATAAACAAACAATACATTGTGGTAGGATGAAGCGACCTGTGTCAGCATGCCGTATAAGTTAAAAAGAATGTATTCGTAAAATCTCAGCGAATGAATTTGAAGTGAATCCAACGTTTCGCCTGGCAAGTTTATATATAGATCATGTGATGCATGTATATTCAGAATAAACTTATTCACGAAGTACTAAACCTAGTCAGCTGCTACATTCTTATTTAAAATTTTTGAACATTTTATATCTGTGAGTTAATTGATGAATATCATTGAATTAAGGGAAACGAGTTGCTTGAGACTACCTCTTAATCCTCCTAAACTAACTCAGTCACTCAGTTGATAATAACAGTGCAAAGAATTATGAAGAATTCTTAGATGGATCAAAATAACAGTGGACAGACGTGCTTTACTGGGAACTGAATAAACTTTTACTTTTGTGGAATGCTGTCCGCTGTTGACAAAAACCTCATTTCGTTTTTGATTTATTTCATCATAAAATAGTTAGCGGTATGTTTATTTGCTTATCACATTCCTACTATAAAAATAACATCACTCTTGTAATCAGAAGTTAAACTTATTGTTTTACTTAATTATCTTGCTTCATATTAAATACTGTTTGAACCTGCTTAAGCTGTAAATAGCATTATTAAATAAACAATTGAAAAAGGCAGAGATTATTATTAACGTTATTATTGTTAGAGTAAAAAAAAATAACTTAGTTTCCTTAAAACTGTGAGAAAAACATTTTCCATTCATGTTTACATGAGCCACCAGATGTTAACATTACTGTGTCGTTATTACAAAATATGGTTAGTCAACAAAGCAAGCTGAAAAGTAACTGTTACTTAGATATCATGCACATTGTAAATTTCAAGTAAGTATTATTTTCAGAATCGTTAGTAAAAATTTTGGAAATACTCGAACCTGTGGCCGATTGTTTTATGGTCAGTCTGGAAAATACAGCACTTCGACCAATAATTGAGAGATTTCATTTATATAAGAGATATATGGATGATACACTACTTGTGAAGATATGGATTCCAGTGAAATTTTGCATTGATTCAACAAGTGTCATCACTCAATTTAAACCACATTGGAAGCAGAGGAGAACAAGGAATCTCATTTTCTCGATGTCCGGTTGAAAATAAGGTCAGATGGTTCCTTGCAGAGATTTATATATAAGAAACCGACATGGAATGTTTAGTATACGAATTTCTATACCTGAATCCCATTGAGTAGAAAGAGAGACAATTCACTCTTTATCCTCATGGACTAGGCGAATATGTTCTAATGACACGCTGGATGAAGAACTACTTAAACTTCGACAGATACTCATCAGAAATAATTACCTAACTAGACTCGTTTTCAGGAACTTAAGAGCAAGGCAGAATCCTTAAAATGCAACAACGATCCAAATGAAAACTGTTTTTATGAATATCGGACTTAAAAGAGATACGGCTGCTGAAATCTCGAACAAACGGATTTCAGAATCTCTAAATGAAACCATCTACTCAGCTCAGCTTCGCACTGTCTTCTCAAGCCGGCCTACCATTCATGGATATGTTATTGATAAACTTTCGCTTTGGACCACATCGATGTGCATTTTTAAATTTACTTGCTTCTGTGGGGAATATTACATTGGTCACACAAAGCTATCACTTTCCAAACGCATCTCAGAACATTACCCGGCGTGGCTTTTAAAGGGCGAATGCAAAAGTTACCAATTCATTACAGGAGCATCTAATCAACTCCGGACGCGTCGTTCCAGAGTCTTCGTTCAAAATAATCTAGACAATCAAAGGAACTGAATCGAAGGGAGGTCGAATAAAAAACCTATGCATTTCTGAGGCGTTGGCGATCCACCAATTCAAACCCTAACTAAGAGTGTGAAAATGATACGTCAAACCTCTCATTCTTCCTTGGCCCAAATTCCCTTATGTAGTGTTTCGGTTTTTTTTAACTAGTGTTTTGTAATTTTAAACCGTAATCAGTTACTATTATCCTTTAGCAATTTCCCATGATTATCATCCAGTTATTATTATGACCTTTACGTTTTTCATTTTTCTTCATATCTGTCAAGTGGACAATTATCTTTGATAATTCTAACCCGTAAATTATTTTCATCCTTCTATTCTTTTCTAACCTCCTGATCACTACGCAACCTCGTTTGATAATTAGAGTCTCGAATCACTTTATGATGTAATCTTTTCTATCATTTTATGGATATATATTTACCATACAAATATCAAAACGAATGTTGAAAAGAGATTTTTTCGTTGAATTCTCTTTATTTCTATTTAAAAGAATTATATTTAATGAAATAAATGATGTCGTTTATACTTATAAACAATCTGTTTCATCAGACTCCGAAAATTCTGATAATTCGTGCAAATAGTTGTAGGAAAAATGGTAAGAACATAAGGGAAAAAAATTCAGTATTTATCTTTTGGTGTGAATAGTCGATAACATGAGTTGACTGAAGTGCAAATAATGATCAAGGAAAAATGAATAAAAAAACCGTTTAAGAGATAGACAAAGAGATGGAGGAAAAAAGATCAAGCTGATCTTATTCGTATGATATAGTCCCATTTTCAAACATACTACCGATTTATATTTGTGGAAATATAAATGTCATGAATAATATTCACCACAAGCCATACTATCGACATCATTCACACTCAGACTAACTTGTTTATATTTAATCAAATTGTCGCTAGGATTAATGATTCCTATTTCTTTGTTTATAAAGTTCCTTTCCTTCTCACTTGTCAATTTATTACAACAACTGTTATAATTACTGTGATAATCACGCTCAATGGCATTTTCTGATTTTATTGAACCTAATGAATAACGATCTCTAATAACATTGAAACTTCTTTTATTGTATAACGCTTTCTGACTTATATTTGACTTTTTCAGAAAATTCGTATCTCCCAACTGGCAACCTTCATTATGAGCTTCTTGTCGTTTTAAAACTTTTTCACGTCTCATTTGATCATGATAAAATGCAGCGAAATTATTAACAATAATTGGGATTGGTAGACCGACAACAAGCACACCGCATATACAGCATACTGAACCGATGACTTTGCCTAATACTGTTTTTGGTGTGATATCACCATAACCAACTGTTGTCATCGTGATGATAGCCCACCAAAATGTAGCCGGTATGCTTTGAAATTCATTCTTATTATCGTCTTTTTCAGCGAAATAAGCTAAGCTTGAAAATAATAGAACAACAAGTACAACAAATAGCATTAATAAACCTAATTCCTTATAAGATTGCTTTAATGTATAACCAAGTGCTTGTAGACCTTGTGAATGACGTGCTAATTTAAAAACACGTAATATACGCAGAATACGAAACATTTGTACAATTTTACGCATAGATACAAGTGAATCTAATGGGGAATGAAGCCATACTCCAAAAATCACAGAAAAATAATAAGGTAGTATAGCAATAACATCGATAAGATTCATTGGACTTTTAATAAATGTACATTTATTTGGCGCAACTGATAAGCGTAATGCATATTCAACTGTAAACCATATCGTACAAATTGATTCTAACGTTTCTAAATGTTCGTTTACATAATCTGCATTACTTGTGGTATGATTATCATGATTAATTCCAGACGAATTTCCACGTAGTTCAGGTATTGTACTTAAATTCAATCCAATTATTGATAATATGATGAAAGCTATTGAAATTACAGCAAATATCTGTGTAAAAAAAGACAAAGATAAAAATATAACTTATCAAATGATATCAGCAAATAACATCAGTCTACAAAGCTAATAATAAACTATTTGCCTCGATCATAATATTCAGTTTCGGATTAATATAAGACGCTCGATAGCCTTGTGTATTGTAAATGATATTAAATGAATGAACCGAATGGTTAAGAAACTCTACTTAAGCGCCTTGCTTTTGACACTTACTGGTGAAGATTAACTGTAAGTTGGAAGGAAATTATGTCTTATGTAAATATTAACACCCATCATTTGGTGCTTGAGTTCAGCCTGTTACTAGTGTCGTTTTTACGGCAGTACCATCGTTAGTATCTAACCTTTATTACAGCATTGATAGCAACGGAATAGCATAACAGTACTTACTACTTTTGGTAATTAATACGTTTGTGATTTCAAACAAGTTTTGAAAAATTTATTTTCTGCACTCTATATTTACTTTTGGGCTTAAGTGACAACTTAAACAGTTAGAAATTGTTCTGACGATCTAATTCATATAACTCTATTATGTACTCTTGAAATAAAAACTGTGATATTTGTGCAATGTGTAATCGTTATTACCTACTAGTAACCAATATTTATGTAGGAAGAACCTAAAGACGATCCGTATATGTTTATAAACCACGTAAATCTTCCAAAATGTCTAGTAATATCCGTCATTTTTGCTGATAATTCCACATTGCAGGTCAAGAAAACGATGAAAAAAGGATAGAATTTAAAGTTTTACGAGCTACATATACATAAATACTTCAAATTAAAAAAAACGGGCAAATACAATATCGTTATAGAAAACACTACTGAATAATTTTACACTTAAAAAGAGAAATAAAGTATATCCCACTAATGACTCATTATGTTTATGGTGAAGCTGACACTTATATTATGACAATAATTTTGTAGTGATATACAAAAGAAGATAGACAGTGTACGCTTTTTAGTGACTTTCGAAAGCTTTAATAAATCGATAATATTTAATTCATCTCTTTGTCCAATCTACCTTGCCTATATGGTCATTTGGTTGTTGTTAAAGGTCGTTAATAACAGGCAATAATTTTCGGTGAAATTTAACAGAATAAGTCTAAAATAATAATAATAATAAATTGCTAGAAAAAGTCATATTTCCATGGTGGGCTAGCTTCAATTGACTCATGAATTCAACTATTAAATTATTTCAATGGTTAAGATCATGAGTCAGTTGAAGCTAGACCACCATGGAAAACCTGGAAGCACTAGACGGCGGTTTCGTCCTATATATATATAAATTTTAATTAAGGGTGAATTTCATTAGCGAATAATGGGGATATGTACGATTGTGGCGAATTTCGTTATATTTAGACGACACCAACTGATATTCACAATGAAACTAGAAAATTATGTATTAGGATAGTACAATATAGTTGGTTTCCTTCATAAATTAAAAGATAGGCTAGTACAGAAGTGTAATCAGAAAAAAACCTACAATTTCTTAAAATGGATAAAATCTAGTAATCGGAGTAAAAGCAGATTTAACACCGATTGACACTAGCTGAAGACTCAATGAAATCCGTATGGTATTGAATAGCTATTTATCCTAGATCACATAGTAAGTATATTCAGACAACGCAAGGTGCGACTGACTAGTGGGAAAGATAGGTATGACCTTATGGATGACATAATGGACTAATTTAGTACTGTAAATGACTAATCAATCTGTTTTTGTGTTCAATATTTTGTTATTGATTTCTGGTTCTAAATAAAACTATTGTACAAGTGCAGCAACAGTCCTCGTGATTCAATGCGCACTCAGACCACAATAAAATTAAAAGCTATCTTTACCTGGAATCCCATAGGTGGGGCAAACTAATCATGTTCAGTACCCTCCGTCCCTACACAAACTCTATGAAACTGTTGTAATATCGAAGACTTCCAGACATCAATAAATTCGTATTACAACGTGGTGGTTGTTTATTGCTAGTAAGGAAAGAGCTGACAATATTGTCTGGAACACCAACAAAAGCTTTGTAGTTAAACTACTCAACATAAAAATTAATACCACAACTGAAAGAAAAACAATATAAATGAATAATTATATGTAACATAGTAACATGTCCAAAACAGATTGTGAATAAAATGGAAGAAAATATACTTTCTCAACTGAAATTCCTTTGAAATAATAATCAGTCAGTCAAGTTAATTTTTCTTAATTCCATATCAATATTATTTTAATAATATAAAGAGGGAAAATATATTTATAAAATTTCGTTTTACATTATTCTACGGATTGTTGTTAATCTTTGATCTTAGATAAACAATACCAAAACAACAGTATTTTCATAAGGCTTAGTTTTAAAAGTCGGTTTCTTGAAATAATATTAAAATGTATATGAAAGCGTTACAAGAAACGTGTTTTAGGTTGTCATGGTATCGAGCTGTATAATTGTCAAATATTTATGGTAGAAAAGAGGTATAAAGTGTATAGCAATACAAAAATTCGTTTTGTCATATAAATGGTTATTATTTATTTAATAAATAGGCCGAGGTTAGGATTACAGCTGACTCAGTCAACAATTAGACTGTTGAAAATTCGCCAACATACTAGAACTCTTTTAAAGTGATAATAATAAACGTTTTGAAATGAAGTGAATTCATTTTATTTCGTGTGCTCCAAGTCAACTACATATTCACCGATCTGTACAACTGAATGAAACGTTTCATTTAGAGCTGCCATGGTGGTCGATTCAATGCTTCTCTTCATTTTCTTTATTTTCCTAGTTTTATTTGGTTGACTTTATCTTTGTTTAGTCTTAACCGTTGCATTGTTTATTTTAGTCCAGTTTTCACTTCATTTCCAACCCATAGTTACTATGAAGAGTCTTATTATTTTGACATTATCCAGTAAAATATTTGACACCCTATCCATTTAAGCATTTGACTAATCCTGTCTTCTCAGGTCCTCGTCAATTATTATTATTATTATTACTAATATTATTATCACCATTATTATAATTACCGTACTTCATTTATTTTTGGTTAATGCTATCACTGTCATCGTTTTGCCTACTCCAGTCATAAGTTGTAGATGGTTCTTATATCCGAAGAAGTCATCGTCTCACTCTTTTTTGTAGAATTATTCCTTTTCACTAGTGAATTAAATGAATTTTTAAATATTACGCATGAAATTGGGATTGTAAAACATTTCATTTATTGGTACAAATGATGATTTAGAAAACACAAAATAAAATGAATTCATTTAATTTTACAATATATTGTTGTGTTCGCTTTACAAAAGTTTATCAAGAGAACCTATTGAATGAACCTAGAATTTATGATAAGCCTCATGTTGTTCAACTTCTCTATGGAGTGGTAGAATAAATTGTAGCAATGATTATGCTGTATGAAATATGGAAATGAAGCATATCGCATATCAAAATATTTATAGTAATTTGAACTTATGAATAAAGACCACATAAACATCATTTATTATTTTTTTTTAGAAAGAAACAGTCACTACTAACCGCTTCATTATCCTTGATATGAATGACGTGAGTAATAAATGCACTCCAAAAACCGATAACCCGTGATCTCTAATTTTAATATGAATTCCCTGATTCTTTTTGCTTAACTTGTAGTTAAACATCTTAAATGGTACTACAATATGGATATATATTGTATGATTTCTACCTCAGTTACTAAAACGAAATCATTTTATACCGTAAAACACGAAACAGATAAAAATAAAGGATACGGTGATATTCTTTGCAGACTTCCTCATAGAGTAACTACTTTAAAATGCTAACTTAGTTTGTGAGTTTCGTCAGTTAGACGTAACCACTTCATGTAAACGTGTCTTTCAGTAACCGATGCCAATGTTCACTCATAAACATACTACGACCGTCTTGTCCAGAGTATCAAGTTCACGAGACAAATTCATTTATTATAGACCACAGTTTGGGATGAAACATGTATCTATTCTCCCGTGGTTTTCAGTGGTTCCCTAATTAAGGTTGAGACTGTCTTCAAGGTGATTTATGGGCAAGAATTCAGCAAAATTGCTGGCGTACTGTTAACAAACACATACACAGAGCATAAACAGAGTTAAAATAAACAAAGTAGTTAATCGTGAAAGTAAACAAAAAATTACTTTTTATACATCTATCGAAACGCTACTGAATAATAAGAAAACACGCATACACACACTGGCCTCATCATCTGAACTCCATTTTCAATATTATAAAAATGATGTGTCTTGCAAAAGCACTTTGCATCAGAGTTTTTGTGCAATTCTCATAGTTTTCTATCTTATCGTTTTTCATTTTTTGGCGAAACAATTGCTAGAAATAAAAGAAAACAATTTCAGTAGTCCAAAGTTTGTATCATAACGAGGTGGAATTATCCGAGAAAAACCTAGTGCGTACGCGTGTGAGAACCGTTAATAAGCTTCACTAACAAGAAGAAACAAATAATAAGCAGTTCCCGGTTTCCAATCATTCTCGGTCAAACATCAGTTCGTTAAAGAAACTATGTTAAAATTATAAAAAATACCAAAAATTTGTCAAATGGTATATTGGTAGTACTGTTTTTGTTCAGAGAAGCTTATAACTAAGAACATGATTGATGAATTTCAGTGTGTACATAAGTTAAAGTATATACATTAAAAAAAAATCAAATTATATTAATTTGTTTTCCATTTAGTGGATATTACTCAACATTGAACTGTAAGTAAATCCTAAATACGACGAAATATGAGTCCTTGATCCATAACTAACAATACTGAAAAGATTTATTAAAGTAACTTGGCGAATAATACGCTTTCAATAATGATATTAGAAGACGAAGATTATCACATAGTTCTGATAATCTTCGTCTTCTAATATCATTATCGAAATTTATCAAAGGGGCTAATTGTTTTGAATAATACGCTGTCAAAATACCGTAAAATGGAAAAATTAATTTATCGTAATTTCAGCTCCTAAATATAGTTAGTACTTCTATAC